TGATGAATCAATATTTTTACCCACGCCTAAAACAGAGCTAGTAATGTAATGTTGTTTACTATGAAAATGGAGGGCACTAGCGAGCAAACCCGTCTGGAGTGATTTATAAGCAGGGATAGTCAGTCCTTTGGTGTGGTAAAAGTAAATGTCTTATTCTTTAGAATAGTTTCTACGTTATGTTTTCCCTTGTGGTGTCATACAGTTGTACAATGTGTTTTAAGATCATTGTTCAAATTAATTCCAACAAATTTCGTGTCATGTCATGTTTGGAAAAAGTGACAGCCCTATTAAGTTTCTGAAGGTGGCACTCTTCTGTTTTCAGCTGTGGCTCAGTTCTTCCTTTTTATCCAAACACATCTATTTTACCTGGTAAAGACCCACACAGAGTAGCAAAACCTCATATAAAAATGTTACACAAACGTTGTTTAACCTTTGGCGGTGCACTGCTCAATCCAGTTCCTGCCAGAGATGCTTAATCACGCGCAAAGTAAACCTAACGTCAGGTCCAGCCACCTGTTCTCAGGTGAGTCAGTTTTATTGAAGCCAGTATTATTATTAGGAAGAAATAAGTGAAATGAGCTGGTCGACTTGGAGGAGAGCTCTCGTCTGTCACAGTATTAGAAACCACAGGCTTAGAGGAAACTGGATAACTTACATACTTGGGGAAACTGTGGTTGACAATTTGTTAGAAATAGTGTAATTTATGTATTTCATATTCTACGTGTTGCATCTTCATCATTAACTTTATGGCATTCTTATTTCATGTATATATTCCAAGTTCACACAATGCTGTGCTTACAAGGGCTACACTGATATACAGTGTGCCAGTGTATGGGACAGTTATTGGCCTTTCATTAAACACATGCCAGTCCACCTCTGTGAGGAAGATGTGATGCAGGTCAGAGATAGTGTTTCACGGTCTTAAAGGTCCAATGGAAATGGAATATAATATTCATTGGTATGTTTTCATTAGTGTACAATCACCTGGATATAAGAATCATGTTTTAGAATGAGCTGCTTTTATCTACAGAGGGAGTGGGTCCTCTTCTATGGAGTCCACCATGTTTCTACAGAACAGACAAACCAAACCCTGGCCCTAGAAAGGGCCTTTACCAGCTACCATAGTTTCTATTACACACTTGGAAGGCTGAGCTGTATTAAAATGGTTGTAATCTGCAGCACTGGATGCCACTTAACCCTACACACTGGTCCTCTAAGAGTCGTTTTAAAAGCTCTTCCACCCTGACCAGAAATCAGTTCAGGGGGAATTACTGAACACTTTCTTGGCATTACAAAGAAAGAAAAAAATACTGAATATTGCCACAGCATTCGGAGCTTCATTTGATATAAATGTTAAAAATTCCATGTAAACTAAACACCAGTACATACTGCATATTAATTCTTTTTCTCAGAAGCCCTCCTATGCCTTGGCAAGTCTGAATAAAGCTGTGGTTCCTTCTGTTAATTCTGTTTGTCTGCTATTTTCAATGGTGTAATGCTGG